TATGTTATTGGCACACTTGCAAATTAAATTTTATTTTTTTTGCAAACTAATTTTGATGCAAAATATGCCCTTGGCATAATCTTGGTAGCTAAGATAGTAGCAGCACCAGGTATCAATATGTTCCAAATGTCAGCCAAAGCACTGATCACAGATTCTTAATAATAAGATTATAGAATTTATGGAGAAATGGTGTCACAATGTGAATAACCTGTTATCAAATATTAAGCACACAAAATGTGAGGTACATATTCAGAATCCTTGTTTAAAATACTGCTTTATATATTTAACTTAATTGTTTTGTCCATAAATGGGAATCAACAGAAATGTATGTGTATGCCATTAAAGCATTAATCCAAGCACCATGACCACTTCAGTGACTTGAAGTGGTCATGGTGGTAGGAGTCTGTATTTTTAGCTTAAAAGAAAACATTGTATATGAAGGGTTACAGTACCACTTTAAACAATGTGCTATATTCTGAAACAAACAAAAACAAAACAATGTTTCTCTTCCTTTCCAGAATACAAACAATACCATTTCTGTTGATTATTTTTTTAGCATTTGCTTGGCTGTGAAGAAGTTACACTCTTACCATAGAGATCTGTCTATTTACAGTAAATTGTGGAGAGTGGCCAATTGACTTGGAAAATGTGTACCAAAAGAATTTTGTTGGAAAGTAATCTGTGACTTGGCTGCAATTTTACAAGTCGTTTATAACATTTTAATATAGTTCATCAGACAAAGTTATTCTCTAAACAGGAAATTGAACTAAATTAAACAGGGACATTTTACTCCCAAACTGCTGAACTAGAAAATGTATCGGTCAGCTTTTTATTCTGCTCAGTTATTTTAGCCTAAAATCTTCAATTTCATGGTTAGTTCCAGACTATTCCTAGTTAATAAATTACACTGAGAATATTTTTAAATTCTAAAATACTTTAAATGTGTGGGATATAATATATATAATATAATTCATGATAATTCACTATTTAGTGGATAAACCAATGTTTTTTAGATCAGTGTTCTCCAACCCAGTCCTCGTGGACCACCAACAGTTCAGGTTTTGTCAGTATTTCCATTGGAATAAAACAGGAAAATACATAAATCCTGGACTGTTGGTGGTCCACGAGGACTGGATTGGGGAACACTGCTTTAGATGATTACCTACAGATAATGGTGAAAGTGTAACGTTGAATGTAAAATAATCAAATAACAGAATAAAATCAAAAGTCATAAATGTGTGTATGTGTGTATGTCTTGTATATTTCACATTGTTCTTTAAAATGACAAAGCATCATATAAGTTGTAATTTTAAAACATCTGGGGATCAACCTTTGGCACCTCCACCATAGACTATTTCACATCCTTCTACATCCACTATACTTCAATTTCAATCCATTTTCTCCATAACGCATGCCACACTGTTCTAGTTTTTAAACACTTTGACCACTAACTATGCCAAATATGTATCATACCTTGACTTTGAAAAAAATATGATTACACTTAGTATTGGCTTGTCCATATGGTCCCCACCAGTTTTATGTGGAAAGAAGATGATTGACAGTAGTTTATAACCACTAAGATTTTTTTCTAATGGGAGCAGGGGGTGGGCTAAAAAATAGGAGAAAAAAAGTAGAATAGCCTACTCCATAAAAAAAAAAAACAAAAAAAAAACACTGTTCCTCTTTAATTCTTTAACAGGTTTCAGTTCTAGTAAAGCATGAGGTCCTAATAGTATGCAGATGAACCCCTGTTGTATAATATAGTATCCTTTATCAACATCTTTATAGTTTAGCCTTATACCTACCTAGCTAAAGGAGAGTTTCAGAAAAACACACATTCTCACATTCTTTAAGATCATAAACTGTGTGTTAACTTTGTTGTATGTAACTTCTAGTGCTGAGTGGCTCTGAAGCTGAGACCCGAGACACCCGTGTTGTGGCTAGTTTGAAAGCTGGAAATCTCCACATTGTTAATACAGTAGGAAATTAATACATTCCTTATGGCCTTGTAGTTATCAAATGATCAATCCGCAGTGATAATGTTGAGTCAGGAGTCGCTGACGTGGGGCATAGCAACAACAACAACATTTGCTAAAAAGATAACATTTTCAAACGTACTCATTTACAGCACTATTTCCACTGAAGATGAGATCAGAAAAGCATGAGAGAAAGACTCAGAGTAAGCTAGAGAGATAGATTTAGGCAGAGCGAGCTGGGGTATTATACAGAGACATTGTATTGTATGGGCATCCTGACATCTATTTGTTTATGTGCTGTGCAAAAAGTACTTATGGCAACTAGAGTGCACAACATACTAAGAGGCAATAAATATATAATTTAATCATGTTTGCAAAAAATATGAGGAAATTCATTTTTGAAATATATTTTTTTAACTATTTTGTCATTATTTTTAGTACACATGAAACAAGGAAAAAACATCCCACTTTGCTGTGACATGTAGAAATTGTGTGTAAAATGTTGCCAATTCTCTCTATTGTCATTTATGGGCTTGCCTTACTGATGATGCCCATAATGTGTTACAAAATAAGAGAGATGAAGGATATCAGATTGGTCTTAAATGTGTGGCATGTGTTATGGAGAAAATGGATTGAAATTGAAGTATAGTGGATGTAGAAGGATACAAAATAGTCTATGGTGGAGGTGCCAAAGGTTGATCCCCAGATGTTTTAAAATTACAACTTATATGATACGTTGTCATTTTAAAGCATTCTAGAGGTATGCAAAGCATTGTGGAAGTTGTAGTTCTACAACATCTGAAGATCTATCTTTTGGGCACCCTTGGCCTATGGAAAATATGGTACCCTATAATATGTGAAATCAAGAGATTGTGGTGTCAGGAGTCACTGTGTGATAAACATTTGATTTGGTTCTGACTTGGATATTTTTTAGCTGCTTGACTGTAAGATAAGTAAAGTCTACATGGTCAAAGCAGGGCAGATCCAGTGAATGAGATGTGAGCTAGCACTTACCTTGGTTTGGATTCCACATGATGAAGAGTTCTGGAGAAAAAAAATTAACATGTTAGGATATAGATTTATATTTGTAAATAAGTAGACAGATAGAATGAAATAGAAAAGGATTATC